GCATCAACACAAAGTTAGAACTTTGGAAGGATGCCCTAGAATCCAAAGGTTTTAAAATTAGCCAGACTAAGGCAGAACATATGAAATGCAAATTTAGTAATAGTAGGAGTAAAGACGAGGAAGTAGTTAAGATTTACGGCATGAAGTACAAACAAGACCACACTTTCGGTCAATAATCCAAGAAAATAGAGAGGGAAGATGTCGCACACAAAAATAGAGTTGGGTGGGTGAAGTGGAGATGTGCAATTAGAATTTTATGTGATCGCCGCATACTAATGAAGCCGAAGGACAAGTTCTATTGGACACTTATGAGTCAGCTTTGCTCTATGGGGCAGAATGTTGAGCGGACAAAAACAATATACACATAAAATGAATGCAGCGGAGATGGGGATATTGAGATGTATGAGTGGCAAGACAAGAAGGGATAGAATTCGAAATGCGTTCATTCGAGAGAATTTAGATGTGGCATCAATAGGCGATAAGATGAGAGAGAGTAGACTTAAGTAGGCTGGCTATGTGTGGCGCCAATCAAGTACAACACTTGTTGGGAGGTGCGAGTTAGTTCAAATGGAATGACTGAAAAGGATAAAGGGTAGCTCCAAAAGGATATGGTTAGAAGTAGTCCGAAAAGATATTAGGACTCATGGTTTCACTAAGGGTATAACATTTAATATAGCAGATTAGCAGACCAGGATTCATTTAGCCGATCCCAATTAATTGAAAAAAATATATAATCATGATGATAATTATATTTTTTAAAATCATTAATTTTGTGAAGATTTAGTTTGATTTTGGAAAAATGATTGCTTACTTGAGAAGGTTACACATCCCCAAAGTTCTAGATCCTAATAATACACCTACGCAGGATTTGTCCTGAGCGGGTGGATAAACGATATCAGTTTCCTCCTATAGGACCCTATAATCTTTTGCGGAGGTACTTACAGTTTGTCCTGCATATAGATTTTTTATATTATTAATTAACTTTTTATTTAATAAATATGCATTTGGGACTCAAAAATTTTAGAAAAGTTCAATGGCTTCTCAACAGACATAGGTTCTCTTTAGATTCCTATCCAAACTTAACTATGAAAAAGTTAGAAGATGGACGCGAACTTTTCTTCCTGTGGGATCCCACTTCATGCCCTTTGATGCTAACGCATTTCTTAGCCCAAACCAGATCAGGTCCTTAAAAATCCTTGTGATGGTCTATAAATCCATTTCCGTTCCTTACTGTGGAACTTGAAACTGCAACACTGGGGTAGATTTGGTAATCCAGTAATGACTTCAAATAGATGGTCCCAAAAAGCATCACAGGATGAGTGATTTTTTTGAAAAAATTATTATTTTTTTGGATCCACAATTGTCGAGGCAGAAATATAAGTCCAACTATCATAATTATGTCTCAATCATAACAATTTGCATGTTTGGCCGCACCAAGACTGTGTTTCACTATGAGATTTGAGTTGCAGTTGTATAAAGCCACAAATTCGCTAAATACCTTATATCTCCATTTTTCTTCTTATTTGCGTCCCTTTATCTTGGGTGCTCAACCCTGTCAAAATAAGTAAAGTCTCACCTTATAACTTATTAAAAATTGTAATTCAAGTATTGAAAAACTGATCATCTCAGCTTGAACATTATGGTTGTGCAAAAAAATTAGAATTTCAAATTCTAAAAATCATGTATATTACAAAAATCATCAACACCATCCATTTTGCCCAAAAAATAAGTGTTTTCAGGTCCATAAGATTTGTACCATTTTTTTTATTTCAAAATTTATTGTTGGAATTGGAAATTAATTTTAAAACCATCATAAAGATTTCTGATGCTGAAAGTGCTTTTCGGATGAGCATTTGAGGCGAGGCTTTATTTTTTTTTCATAAAGCCTAGGCCCTATAGAAACTCCATCCTTTAAAAAATCTAAGTTCTTGAGTGTGCGATGAATTTGTAGGGCGGGTGCATTTACCCATTTTTGGAGTGATTTATATGAAAAAGTTTATATAAGGTTCTCTTATTAAAGGAAGAAGTTTATATAAATGCGAGGCTATAAACAATCAAATTAAGGCGCATCTCAAAAATTTAATTAGAAGAGGTTCTTTTGATGCTCAAAAATCTTCAAATTGATTATCTCGATCTCAAGATCCATGGACATGAGAAACAAATAGATTTCAAATTTTGGAAATAATGTTTCTTGTAACGCATTTTTGGACCGTCAGTTTTTAAGATTTTCAAGTTTTCATAGATATGCTCGATTTACATTATTTTTAAAGTTTTAAATTTTATCATTAGAAATGAAAATATATTTTAAAGCTATAAAAAGGTTTCAAGTATTGAGACAACATCTTTTGACATTATTTTAAGGTGATCTTTACTTTAATTATTTAGAGCCTCGGCTCTATACAAACCGCAACCCATATTAAATGGCAGTTGTTATTACCTAAGTAAACCGTTGAGCTGTCTCTTTAACGCCAAAGAGAAAATGGTAACCGTTACGATGTCCCTTTAAAAAGGATAATTAGGCTCCTTCAAAAGCCCTTGTCTTTTTAAAGAAAAGGACACATGATTTGAATTTTGAACTTTGAACTTTTCCTAAAGCTTTGATAGGCTGCTAGATAGGTTCATCATTTTTAATCGTGTTGAAAAGTGTCTCAAATCAGTGCATCATAGAGTGGTACCACAATGAGTGATGGCAAATATTTTCTCTCTTTCTATCACGATATATATAGATTTGATAGAAGTTGGATAGAGAGAGAGAGAGACAGACAGATTTTTAAAGTATTGTGTTTCCTAACTCGAAAAGATTTAAAATATGAAAAAATTACAGATACCCTCTCAATCATATTTTATTGGAAAAAGTTTATATAAGGATGGAACCTTATAATGTAGAACAACTACGGACGCACATAAAAAATCCATCGAAAAAAGTAGTTTTAATGTTGAAAAACCCTTTGATTGATCATCTCGACATCGAGATGTATGACCATGAAAAATAAAAACATTTTAAGTCTCAGAAATTGTGCATTTTATATCATATTATCTACACCGTCTATTTTCAAGATTTTCATATGTTTGTAAATCTACTTGATTTTAACCATTTTTTAAATTTAAAATTTTACAATTAGATATAAAAATAGATTTTGAGATAATCTTAAAAACATTTTACATCAAAATTATATACCATGATAAAATTTGAAGGCGCACCTTACCTCTTCCGCTACGGATGCATTTGTATGCCAACTGCACCCCATTTTATATGCTTGTGCCCACCCCTAATACCTTTTTGGGAAAGGTTTCTATACTTCCCTTATAGCATAAAAGATCTATGCTTCCCCTACCATCCAGCCGTCCAATTTTTATCAAGAGAGTCACTCACCATTTGATCTTAGATTCGACGTTTCAAAGTTTTTTATATTTAGCTTTTTTATACAAATTGTATGAATATAAAATTTGGTACATGCTATATTCTCATTAGGGCGTACCTATAAAAAATATTCAAAATAATTTTTCAATAAAATATAATGACCAAAATACCCCTTGAAACTTTCAAGGGTATTTTGGTTATTTTATTTTATTAGAAATATTGTTTTTATACTTTTCGCTAGTGTGAGTTTAATAGAGAATTGGACGTACAAAATTTGGTATCAAAATAGTTTATAGAAAAAAAATAAAAAATAAAATAGTGTAGATATGTAACATTGTGATCGGGGCAATTTTAACCCTCCATTCAGAATGGACGGTTGGATAAAGTGAAGTACATCAGTTTTATATTGTAGAGAAAGCATAAAAAGCCTCCCCTACTTTTTTTAACTTTAGACTAGAGTCAGTACTATTAATTTTTTCATACAGCCCCTCGGAAGAAAGTAGTCTTTTTTATAATGGAATACCCTCCCAATGCATGAACCTGAATTCATTTCCATCACTCTCTCTCTCAAGGCTTTCGAATTTTCAGAGTTTCTCTCTAGAAACTCGAAATTTGAAATAACTTGAAATTTGAAATAGTTTTTTTTTAAAAAAATTAAAATAGTTTCTCTCTAAATATTTTGATATAGTCTCTCTTTCACTTTGAAAATTTAAAATTTGAGATAGCCTCTCTTAAAATTTTGAGATAATTTCTTCTTCTAAAATTTAAAATTTCAAATTTCAAATCTTTAGATGAACAATCTTAATAACTTACATGGGGGTATTTTACCTTTTTTTTAGGTAGTGGATACAAAAAAATAAATAATATTAGTACTATAGCATTAAAAATAGGAAAAAGTTTATATAAAGCCGAGGTTATGAACAATCAAATTTGAACCTACCTCAAAATTAACTAAAAGTGGTTGTTTGGATGTCTAAATATCTTCAAATTGATCATCTCAACATCAAGATGCATAGACATGAGAAAAAAATGGATTGTAAATTTTGAAAATAGTGTATTTCTGTAACGTATTTTTGGATCGTAAATTTAAATATTTTCAAGTTTTCATAAATATGTCGATCTACATTATTTTTTAAGCTTTAAACTTTATAAATAAATATAAAAATATATTTTAAGGTCATCACATAAATTTACAATATTTAAACCACATTTCTTGACACTATTACTATTTGAAGGTAGGCTCTAATTTGATTGTTTAGAGCCTAAACTCTATGCAATCCGCACCCTTTAAAGTATTAGGGGTTGGCATGTCTAGAAAGTGTAGTCCCCAGGTGTATCTATAATTTAAACATAAAATATAAGCATGTATACTCCCAAGGGATTGTAATATTTTTTACTAAAATATTCCATGTTCTTTTCTTGAGCCAAACCAGCTTTGGTTCCACCAGGTTCAGGATATCTTAAACCGTCAATCCAAATATTGTGGGTTTTAACTTCATAGAGACTCAATTTCCAGAAAAACAAACAGAGAGAGAGATACTGAATGGCTCCCACGCTAGGTAGTTTCACAGAAGAGAGAGAAACCATGACGATGGCTACACAAAAAAAACAAAAGAAAGCAGGGAGAAACACCAGAAAGTGAAACATTTAAACAACCGAATCCATCTTCCATTTCCTCGTGGGAAAAATATATTAAAGATTACATTGGCTGCTAAGCTTTAAACTCAAAAAGGCAATAACCAAAAATGAACTGAATCCAAATAGCAATGGCTAAAGCCTAAACCAAATAGAACCTGCAACTAGTCCACCTACAAGCAAAAATTCCTCAGGATACTACAAATTAGACAAAGAAAGCAAATAAGAATTGCATATAGCAATCTCTAACATAAAAATGGGGACACCAGTAAGTAAGAGGGAAAGAGAGGAGCTCATTTATTTGGGTTTGGTGGGGGCTCCATTGGCAACTTCTTGGGGTTTAGAGGCAGAGCCCGCAGGTGGGTTGAGCTCATCCCAAGCTTCAATCCAAGTGACCATGGCTTCACTCAGCTTGATAAAATAGGGATCGACAGGTCCAAGCTTCTCTTTGACTTGCTTTGAGAGCTCAATGTAACATTTTTGAACAGTGGTGCAATCTTTAGGGAGAGTTGCAGATTGAAAGAAAGGGATGATCTCCTCTTGCCAAAATATGCCCTTGTATTCCTTTTTCAGGTTCACAAATGGGTTGCTTGCTTTGCTGTGCCAAATGTATGGCAACCCTGTCTTAACCCCAAGACCAAGATGGTCACAGATCACCTGTCAAATAAAACAGCCAGCCATGAGAGAGAGAGCACATTTTCTAATGTATTCATGAAGGAAACAGTTATGAGCCACCCATGTGAGGGTTAGGTCTTAGTTATTTTTCAAAGGAAAAGGTGGCACAGAGAATCCCTGGTAATCATTCATATAGTAAAAGTTTGGGTATGATAAATGGGAAAGGGTACGTCAAAAGAGTTCATGATCTTTTCCTTTGTAGAATGATCAAGATACTGATTTTGAAATCGACTGAGATATAGAGAAACCAAATAAGAAAGAAAAAGAACCACAACTCTCAAATAGAGAGAGAGAAAAGAAACTTTATTTCCTCAAAGAGGAAGTATTATGTACAGATAAGAGAAAACTATGCCAGATGAATACAAGAGAGATAAAACCAAGTAACTCAAAAAGATCCAGATGTAAACAAGAGAGAGAAAACCAACAAGTAACTGAAGAAGATCCAGATGAAAACAAGAGATAAAACTAACAAGTAACTGAACAAGATCCAGATGAAAACAAGAGATAAAACCAACAAGTAACTGAACAAGATCTATGGAGAAATGAAGAAATTCTAAATCAGATTTGAAAACAAATCTATAAGAAAAAATACGGAGCAAAATTAGTTCAATTCTAATAAAAATCAAAATGCAGGTTCCACGATCAGATTTGCAATAGGAAATAGCAAATATGGTATAGTTGATCACAGATCAGATAAAAAAAGGCAATTTTTTTTCTAACAATTCAAGATTATATTACCTTGCAACACCAGCCAGCCCACATATCGTCATAACGACCAATGGGTTGGCCATCTCCCATCAAACCAAAATACATGGCAGCGCCAATGAGCTCCCTGTTAAATCCTAAATTCATCCCACACATTGGGAACAACGTGCCCTTTGGGATGGTGAGAACCGCATCAACATACCTTTAAATCACAAAAAAGGCAAAAATTAGATCATGAGAGAGAAACCAGCAAGATCTAAACCATTGAACACATAATGCCATAACGCAGATTTACATATTATAAGATGTGAATCTTCTGCGGGGGAGAGAGAGAGAGAAAACCTATTTGCATAATAAAAACACAGCGAGAGAAACTCAATTCTTATCAAGACAGAGAGAAGAAAGAAATAGATGAGCCAATTCATTTTAAAACACAGACATGAGAGGGACCGAACTGCATCCAAAAAGTTTAGAATTTATTTACACACAGAAAGACGATTTGTATCCCCACACACAAAGACCCAATTTGTATCAAAAAAGAGAGATACCAAATCCAAATTATATAACAAAGAAAACAGAGACATGATACAGAGAAAGAGAGAGACCTGGTGTTGCGTTCGAGGGGTTTGACGAGCTGAGTGGGTGCATCATAGTCAGGGATGTTGAGCCAGAGGCCATGAGAGATAGCAGTGGGGGCACCCTCCCTCAAGCTAAATGGGTAACCTCGAACGAAATCAGCACCTTCTCTATATGGATCATAGAGGGTGTTGAAGAAGAAAGGGGTTGAGGGAGTCAACAAGTTCTGAATATGTTGAGCCAAAGCATTGATCTCCTTCCCACTTGGATCCTTGGCCACCTGTAACATATTCCCAAATTAGAAAGAGAACAATGTGTATCAGAGATCAGAAAAAAGAGAGAAAAAAAAGTAGCCTCAAATGATATGCAAAAACACAGAGATCCAAAATCACAGAGAGAGACCCGAAGCGCCCCAAAAATAAAACCAAATCAAAGAGAGCGCAGAAAGTAGAACACAAAAGAGATAATAGAAGTGACCCAAATGCACCAGAAAAAAAAAAGAAGAGACCCAAAGAAATATTTACAAGAACACAAAAATATCCCAAATTGTAAATAAAAAAAAAAGTGGGAAAACCCAACCAAAAAATCAGGCAGTATAAAAACCCAATAATTCAATCCAGTGAGAGAACCAAATAATGCAAATTGCACAAAAAAAAAAAAAAAAGATAAAAAGAGAGGCAGTGACTGAAAATTCAAAATGAAAAGAGAAGAGAAGAGAAGAGAAGAGAGAGAGATCCAGTAGAAAATCGCCTGTAGTACAAAATCAACAAAATCCCCACTCAAAGCAAACCAAGCTATTTACAGGTTAAAATCCCAAACTGTATCAAAACACCCAGATCAATGAGATATAGTCCATAAACTATAGCTCAAATACTGAATAAATCTTAATGAACCCAAAATCCCCAACTTGTACAAGATCCCAATTCTCCAGAAACCCCAATTGACAAAAAGATCCCAATTCTCCAAAAACCCCAATTCACAAGAAGAGATGTAGCAGAGACAACCCAATTAGATCTAAATAGAGAAGAGTAAGTAGGATCTTACAAAGCAATCATCATCAATGGTGAAGATGTACTTCTTCTTCGAAACCATGTATCCGAAGCACCGACACGCCGAATCCTTGAAGGAGATGCACGACGCCTTGGGTCCAAGGATTCGATTGATATCATTGCGATTATAGAGCTCGTAATCGAAACCTTCCGGGACCTTAATGACCTTTGATGGATCACCATCCTGAACTATGATCAGGTGATATGGTTGGAAATATGGCCGCCACATCTCCAAGAAATCAAGGTTTCTAATGGTGGGGATCACAATGTCAAGCTCATCAGCAAGACGAGGCTTCACAGGAGTTGGGTTTGCCATTGCTAGGCTGTAGAGAGAGAAAGAAGAGAGAGAAAGATGAGGGGCAGATGTAAGTTTTCTGTTGAGAGAGGGAGTTCCATTCAGAGGGTATTTATAGAGAGAGAAAGGAGGTTTGACCATTGAGAATAGCGCGGGATTTGTAAGAGGGAGGAAATTGGGCAGTAATTATTTTCCTTACAAAATTAAATATTCATTAAATACTACTGATGATATTATGGGGGTTTGTGATTTCTATAAGGCTGAAGCCATAAACAATCAAAATAAGGCGTATCTTCAAAGAGTGTAGAAAACTTCGTGATGGCCTTACAAATTTATTTTTATCTTTAATTATAAAAGTTAAAACTTTAACTACAGTGCATCTAAAAATATTTAAAAATCTTAAAAATTAACTGTCTAAAAAATGTGTTACGAGATATATTATTTTCAAGATTTAAAATTTATTTTTCTCATGTCCGTACATTTTAAGGATTTGTTAGGAGAAATTATAAAACATTTTTCCTATTTTATGTGACCTATAGTAATTAGGAAAAAGTTTATATAAAGATGCTACCTTATAATGTAGAACTACGATGCCCTTCAAAAATCCATCGAAAAAGGTAGTTTTAATGTTAAAAAACCCTTTGATTGATCATCTCGACAACGAGATGTATCACTATGAAAATAAAAAGATTTCAAGTCTTAAAAATAGTACATTTTACAATATATTATCTACACCATCCATTTTCAATATTATCATATATTCGTAGATATATTTAATTTTAATTAGTTTTAAAATTTTATAATTTTATAATTAATTATAAAAATAGATTTTGAGAATATTTTACATCAAAATTATATACCATGATAAAATTTGAAAGGTGCACCATACATGTATATATATATATATATATATATACGTCATAGTGGACGCTGCCACCTATTATTTACTTTACCCTTTTTCCACCTCGTCGTCGTCGTCTATCTTCTTTCCTCTCCTTCTTTATATG